GGCCATGCGGCGACACTCTGTGACATACACAGATTGTGTAATGCAGGTAATTGATCTATGGATGAATAGTATACTAGATTCACTGATCAAATGATAGGACTTTGCCAGCAAGTAAGGGTGCCGAACCGGTCGTCCTCCCATTATCACGACTCTTTCCATAGATCCTCAGTCGAGTTCCTCTTTCGAGCTAATGGACTGCTATAAATTCTACATTTTTATTTCTGAGACACGCACAGTCGATATTGGTACTACTATACAATAGAGGGACGAGGGTTGTAATGAGGAGGATCAAAACGTTGGCAAGAAGTCGACTAATTCACTACTTGGGATCAGTGGTAGAGATAGCATGGTCCCAAATAGCTTTCTTGGACTCCTCTGTGACATGTTGATTGGGAGTAAGCCCGGTACCCTTGTTGTCGATTTCATGGGCACCCGTCTTCCACTGTGCCTCTGAGCTCCAGAGCCTCCACCACATGATCTAGGGTAAATTAGATTCATAATTCCCGCCAAGATCGAATGAAATGATGGGACTATGACTTACCTCTGCACATTGCGCTGGAGTTACAGTCCACGGCTTGAGCAATGGAGCAAAAAATCGAGCTCCTGGGAATAGAGTCGTCATCATAGGGGAGGAGACGGTGCCTGGGAAAGCATGATAGAACGGTACAGTGGGATACTTGCTAGCGAATTCCTGTGGGATACAGATTTAGCCAGTTTCGCGCAGGTCGCCGAATCATTGACTCACTTGCATAACAGCATCTGTACATGTGATCGCATAAGCCGCAGCATTGCCGAGGGTATAAGTCTTGACGAGTCCAAGGTCGTCGAGGTTGACTGGGCCACCATGTCCAGCACCGAGGATGCTCATCACACCCGTCCTCTCCCCATTCTGCGCCGCTTTCGCAACCAATGGCGCAAGATCATGGATAAACCTAAACCGCGCATAAAAGTTGCAAGCCAGCTTCCTATCTATCCCCTCGCTCGTCTCATCTCGCCCTTTCAATGTCAAATAACCGGGTGTAGTGATGATAAAGTTGATCTTGGGCAACTGAGAGCTGAGTTGAGATGTCACCTGACGAACTTGTTCCATCGAAGTCGCGTCCAACTTGACGAATGAGTAGTCTGAGGCGTCTTCTGGTGCGGTCGAGGCGTCAGTCTTGGGGAAGGATGCAATGATCTTTTCCGCAGCTGCTTCGTTTCTTCCCAGGAGAATGATATGTGCCCTGCCGTTGGTTTGTTTGGCGAGTTGTTCCGCCATAGCCTGGCCTATACCACTCGTCCCACCAAAGAAGAGGCCGACGGGTTTGCTAGAAGGTGCGTACTGGCCATTCGAAGTCGTAGCACTTGTGAGTGCCATCTTAGTATTCATCATGCTTGCACAAGATGTCCAATAAGTTTGGAATGGTCGTGTTGATAAGAGTAGCTAGAGGGCAGGGAGTGGTCAGCTGCAGGGTATTTATAGGCCGCGGGTAAAATGCCGAGACCCTGTGGCGCCATCACGTAATCAGGGTCCACCAGCCACCTCTGACTGGCAGGTTGATGACCATCGGCACAATTTTTGATTTTGTTTGCTTATCTCCGAAAGTTCGCAGTGAACGAGGCACTCTGTGAAGAGAATTTGTAATTTGACCAGAGTATAAGTGGTAAAGTAACTTGAATTCAACCATAAGTCAATCCGTAATCAGAGAAATATATACGAAATACCAATTGCCCTTAGGCAGATACAGGTCGCATGATCATTGGAAGCTGAGATCCTTTGTCTGGGTCTGAGCGCAAGGCAGGGCGGGTCGTGATTCTATGATAACCATGGTCAGTCATTCTTTAATCACATTGAACAGACAATCGTACGTACATGGACTTGTGAGTGATCTCATGTGGATCCACTGGCAACTCAAATTCAAAGGCGCGTATAAGGTATTGAAGGATGGCTTTCATCCTACGTCTCGGTAAGCATTTGGCACGGCACGGCAACATACGACTTACTCTAGGATAGCAAAACGGTATCCAATACAGGCGCGCGGACCACCAAGGAAGGTCATGATGTTTGACCAGAGGGCCGGTATGGGTGCAGCGGCGGGTGGAAGTTCATGCAACCAACGATCAGGACTAGATGAACAAGATCAGTTGACGGAGTTGTTGGCGACAGGACAGAACGAACTTGAATTTTAGACAGTCATCTCCCCAAATCTCCTTTGAACGGTTGATGTTTAGGATAGGAATAATCCAATGGTCTCCTTTCTTTACTCTATAGAACGTCAGAAGGGCGCTTGATTCGGGTATAGTGGACAAGTACCGGAGATGGTCGACTTCTTTTCCATCTGCTTGCACAAATGGTTTCTCGAGAGGGACAATATCATCCTGCATCGCGACTCGTATAGAGCCATCTAGAGGCGGATTGAGCCTCAATGTCTCGCGAACTACTGCATCTAAATATGGAAGAGAGTTGAGCGCTTCCATCGTAATTGGGGTCGAGTCGTCAGGGAAGGCCTGCAGCAGCTCTTCCCTGAGGCGCCCTTGGACCGTCATATCTTGACCCAAACTGAACAAACACCAAGCAAGTCCAGTAGCAGTAGTCTCGTGTCCAGCCGCGAGGAATGTAGGGATTTGATCTAGCAGTTGCTCTTCAGATAGCTTATCCTGAGCCGAGTGGGACATATTTAATTTGATAATACGAGAGAGTAGATCTTGGTCCTGATCTGAATTGAATAGGTTAAATAAGAAATAGCAGACCCGGCATTTCTTACCTGCGCCAATATGTTGCGAATTTTTTCTATCCTCGAGGGGCTCTCTTCCTTTCTCGGCGATTAATTTGACCCCAATATCTCGCATAATTCTTCGAGCTTTCTGGTTATTCCGAGACTGTTCATCGAATGCAAAGGGTCTGAGGAACGGGAAAAATCCTTTGAGGATGAACAATAGAGGGGTTTTCTTGGGCGAGGTGACTGCGTGAAAGGCAGCGGCGAGCTCGTTTCCTTCTTCACCTACTTGAAGTGTGTTGAAGTCGTAGTTGAACCCTGCGAGGCCGATTATATCAATGGCCACTCGTGAGAACCAGTGCAGTACATCAACTCTCGCCGATAACGCTCCTGGTTTGATTTGCGCTTGTAATACATCACGTAGCTGGGATAAAATCAAATTAGATATTCGACTGCATTTTAAGACAGAACTTACTTCCGCTGATTTTTGCAGAAAGATTGGAAGAGCATCTCGAAGATGGCTCGTATTGAAAGCTGGGTTCTATCTATCGTGTGAAACGAGGTTCCAAGGACAATATTGTGAGTAGGCTTACTAAAGCGCGTCTTTGATGACGGTGTCCGGCACCTGCCTCATGTTAGGAGCAGTTGAACATTGGTGTAGACTTACTGACCTTCCACAGTAACGAGACCTGCACACTTGAGTCAGTATAGAATAGCGGCTAAGATAGAATGCTTACCATCACCAAGAAGCTCTGATAACTGATACCGCGCAGCTTCAGGCTTGTAATAGATTGTAGTGTTCGACAATATATGGGCGAGGGCTTTGTTGTCTGTAGTCATACCTCTTCGAGACTAGATATGGTGTGGATGAACGGTATATACAAAGTACAGCCATGGTGGGAAGGAAAGCTACTGACCCCCAGAAAGGCCGTGAATGCGAATACGTGTCCATACGTTTGCTGCCATCCATAGAATGCTTCTTGTGGATCATCACCGGTAAACGTCAAAATGTTACCAAGAAAGATGGAGTCTGAAGGAGGGCCAGGTAAAAGGCGCAGCGGGGAACGGTAGGTCTCGAGCATCATTTGGGCGAACCGCCAAGATGCCCAACACCCAACTAATCCTGCTGAAATGGCGAGTGCATTTGCTACCTTGAGCAATAGGTCATGGTCCAAAGGTATAAGAGTCCACATGAAGAGGTAAGTCGGGAGTGGTAGACTCCAAGACGGCTTCGCCTTATTCTCGGGCTATGCAGTGCGGGCTGGCCTTCAATTTCGACCTGTTCTATGCCCAAATCCAGAGGTGTACTGAGCCATTAAGCAGATTAAGCGAATTTTTGTTGCAGTGATGATAACGGATCCATTGCTTCAGGAAAGTTGAAACGCGCGATCTTCAACTAGCGACTTGTATTGCTATCTGTAGGCGAGACGAGTGAAATACCATCAGAATAGAAGGTTTTCATTGGTACTATAGGCTCTAAAACAGATCGAGCCCATTGATTCCAGTCAGATATCGCCGACTCTTGCGCCGATGTGTTGGTTGAACGTACCTCAATCCATTCAACCTTTACGGTATATAGAACCGAGACCGTCCGTTATTTGCACTGGTTATATAATTCCAGCTAAGGTAGATTCCTTGATGGTTTTCCTACCATCAAGACCAAAGGAGGATAGGTCAAACCTGCATTCAAGCGGGCACTATTAACGGTGGCTGTGTAGCGCGCACTTTTGCTCCGCCTACGACCTCTAGTTTCGACATTTCTCCGATATCTTGGTTTTATCATGGTACATTTCACTCGGGCTAGCCGAAAGGTGCGTAACAGTCGGGCACGTTCTACGTCATGGTTTCTACGCACTTACACTCCAGTTTCTGGTCCCTCTAATCAGCCCGGACTGCAGCGGACGTTCTCTTTCGTAGTTCTCGGAGACTTTGGTGAGGACCAAGTGACCTTAAGGTATCGCCGTTGTTCACACTTTATCCCATAGAAACTGGAAAGACTTGTCTCGCAGGGCGGTTCAAGTACCACCATTATGTAAGCTACAACACATTCGCCTATATCCATAGTTACGATCGGAATACTGGATCAGCCGCTAACTACATCGACAGGTAGAAGAGCAAGTCCATTGTTGGCGTTGTCTGATATAACTGGCTAACTCTTCTATAGATACGACCCCGTAAGTACCACTTCGTCCACATCTGACGGTAGATAGGCACCTGACCCAATTTCTGAATAGACAATCGAAGACTGTTACAGCAGGCAACTTAGCGTTGGCGACGAAGTGGTATTCGTTGAAGTAGAAGAAATGGACGGTGAATGGGGGTCAGTTCTCTGCTTCCAGTGAAGAAAAGGCGCTAAATCGTCTGAAGGCTTTTGGAAGAGGCATCTGTGCGGACCTCGGGTGGCTGGCTTCTCGTATATTCAATTACCGATCGATCTTCATTCAAAAGCGCTCAGAATTGGGCAAAAAGGCTGGTACAGATATACGATGGAAAATTCCTTCCTTTGGTGCTATTAGGGACTAAATGTGACTTGGAGTATGATAGACAAGTTTTGGAGAGCGGTTGGTGGATCACTACTACGTCCGAACCCCTGTTTTGACAAGTTGAATTCAGAGGGACAGGCGTTCGCTGCAAAATTTGGGACTGTCTATATCGAGACTTCTGCAAAACTCGATGTAAACGTCGATATGGCCTTTGTACAACTCATAAAGCATATAAAACAACACGAAAATGTAGGTCGCATCTTATCTTGTTTGCTCTGTGATGATATACTGACAAGAAAAACGACGAGCAGACCCTAAGCGCACCTAAACTGCCCCGCTTGCGGCAACTAGTACCTGACTTTGGATGCATCATCACATAGCAATTATACCTCGTCGGCTTCGATCTAGGGCTAGATTGATAGATGCAGCAGAGTTAACGAGGTCCATCTTCAGCGGATACCATCCGGCAGCAGGACAGGTATAACCAAAGCCATACTCCCCATCACAAAGGAGAAAAGAGGTTCCATAGGCAAGAGATTAGCCTACACTAGGCCTATATTCAGAACATATCGCCCCGACGGGTTATAACTTATGACTGGAGTCACAGGACCTCCTTGGGCTTTCAGACTCGACGGATCTGTGGAACGCAAGGATATAACACTTGTGGTCCGGGATAAAGTCATATAATCTACACGAGCGTTGCCATTCTTGGACGAAGTGTCCGTTCGGTAACCGGGACGATAAACTCACTCCGAATTGGCTCTTGGTTCACTGATGATATACTTTTCCTAAATATTTGTAATATTGGAAATATATTATGAATTAAGTTTATAAAGAAGCTTTTGTTTTTATTAGCTTTAAAAGAAATATTAAAAATATTGGATAAATTGAATTAATTTCAGAAAATTAATTAATCTATGATTTTTTCTTTTTGGATCTATAACTTTTGAATTTTTTTCTGTACTGTTTAGTCTTTTTTTATTTTTTTTATATTAAATATTTTATCAAATTTTCTAATACTAATTTCTATTGTATATTCACTCCATATAACTATTATAAAAACTTTTCTTAATTTTGATAGTTGATTTCAGATTATCAGATTCTTGTATCTAATTTGTTTAGCAAGTAGATCTATCTAATTATTGAACTTGTTGGTCTTATAAATCTTGATCTTTGTAATTTCCAAGATAAAATCTTTCTTTTTTACTAGGTCTTTGATCTTACTCTATATTGGTCAGTTGATAATTTTTATTCATCTCTTTGTTAATATTGTAATCAAATTTATATTTAACTGATGTGTCCAAGTAGAATTGCTTTTAAAAGGACAATTTCTAAATAAAGAATTAAAGAAGTAATTTATAATAATTAAAGAAATATTTAAGAATAGCTTTACTAAGAATCCTTCAAACAGTATTATATAGGATTTTACAAGAAATATGGTTTGCTCAGAATTCAAGTTTATTAATAAATCAAGAAAACTAAAATAATTCCTTTAGTCTTAAAATCAAAAGAAGATATCCAATCTTCAAGAAATTAAAATGAAATTATTTATCAACTTCTAAAGTCAAGTGAAGTTATATTCAAACTTATTCATTTTTTAAGTGAATTATGATTACTTATATATTTATAAAAATGGGCCACTTGGACCTTATAGGCCTTCTGAACTACTTGATCTATGGTAAATTATGTTATGTGCTACATTTGATAAAGTAATCTATACTAATTAAGTACCAATAAAAATATCAAAGAATATCAAAAAAATAATTATAAATAAATAGATAAAAATAGAAATAGAATGAAGATTATTACTAAAAATAACTATCCAATAATATTAGAGGCTATTTTTATCATACTTTCCCTTTCTTAAAAGGTGAAGTCCTCTGAGTCAAATTTCTTTATATAAGGAATAAAATCATTTTAATAAATTTCATTAGTCATTCTAAATAGGTAGTTTATTAATAAGAACTTTGTTTGATAAATTTGATTTGGATTGCTTTGAAAAATTTTATAGATGTATCTAATTATACGATAATATTGGTGAGAATTTGAAAATGGATTTTTCTGAAGTTACTGTTGTCACAATTGTTTGAAGTCCTAGACAGTATCTAATAGTTCTTCCAAATAGTATAAATTGATCAGGGTGACTATGCAATTAGATTGTTGTATGTGTTACTTAATTTTCAAAAAAGTATTTTTGATATTATTCTTTACTGGGACAATAAGTTATATGAAGATTCATACTGGTTTGAAGTTTCATATAAAATAGATAATATATATATTTTAAGTAACTTCAATTTCCTTGTAGCTGATTGTTGACAATTAAGTTGAATATTTTTGATGGAAATTTTCTATGTAGATATTCCTTAAATATATTTTAAGATTACACTATTGAGAAAAAAAAAAAAAAACTCTTTCCACTGATCCCTTTTTTCCTAAAAATTTCCTTATTTGGTAATTTTTTTAGAAAAGAGAAGCCAGCCTCAAAAGCACTTTATCCTTTAAAAATTTAGAACTTAACAACAAACTGCAACAGTTAACCACCTTCCCAAAGCTCCCCTTATTAATCAAGAGAAGTATAGGCAACACAGTATCATACTAGCTTTACTTTACAAGAGAAGGGAAAAACAATCACAAACGGATTCACAGTAAGCTTAGGAGAGCTCAATATCAACTCCCCAAGCTTCTAGCCAGGCCAGTGTCGGTTTACACTTTTCTAGGCATTAGAAGAAACTCTGTAAACAGTAATTCTTATCGATAAATAAGGAAAACTCAAAGCTTACAAAGTCCAGAAGGATATCAAATGCTTCCAAGGACTAAACAGTAGAGTATCCTGATTCCATACACACTTGCTTAAACATCAAAACAAGTTACGCAAACATATACATGTCAAATAGTCTAGTACCAAACAACATAGCAAGGTTTATCAAGTGTCTACATATAAACAATCCATTTTTCACAACAACGGAGATCAACAACAAATCTGATAAATAAGCAGGACCAAACAGGAAAGATCAATGACTCACTCGAGTAAACAAGACAT